CGGACGGAGATCGGGACGGAGCCCAGAGGAAGCCGGCCAGGCGGACGGAGATCGGGACGGAGCCCGAAGGAAGTCAGCAAAGAAGGACGGAGACCAGCACGGAACTCGGAGGAAGGCGGCAGGGCCGGACGGAGATCGGGGAGGAACCCCGAGGACCGGGCCAGGGCGGGCTGTCGCGGGGCGCTGGCTTACCCCTGGGTCCGGGGCGGGAGGCGTAGACTCACACAGGTCGCGAGGGAGTCCGAGAGCTTATCATTTTTCCCCGCCGTTCTCTTGTATATGCTGAGGTACCAAGAAGAAGGCAGTTCTCAAATAAGTGATGTCGCCTCGGTACGATTTCAGGACGAAAACGAGATGTGAGGGCGGCATCCCCTGTGGCTTGGGGTTAGAGCTCCGTGTCAAAGTCCCGCGGCCAAACGACGGCGACACCGTCCCGACTGAGCCTCCGGAGGCTCCTGGTCCGTGGCCGCGGGGGGACGGTAGCTCTGAAGAACAGTGGGAATGGCCACTTTGGAAAAAAAAAGAAGCTCTAGGTCAATAGATATCCGACTAGTGAGTTTGATTTGCACCTCTTCAACGTGCAGAAAAGACGATTCCAGGCGTCAAAAGCTTGTATGGGAAGAAGACTCGCCCTTCTTTGCAGGGTGGTCATGGAGACAGTGTGTTAGGGATAGGATGGAGCAAGATGCCCCAGCAAAAACCCAGGCATCGCCACACGTTCTCCAGCAACATCAGAGCAGAGGGCTTCTGTGACCACGCACGACAAAGAAGATTGTGTGACAAGTCACACAAATAGGAAGATACTGAGGTTTCTGTAAGGGAATATGTACACACTAAATTTAATGGCTTCTACAAATTAAGGAAAGGGTTCATGTAAAAAACTAATAAAACTCATAATAGTCACTTTACATTTGAATTACAGAAGATAGATGACAAATATGGAAAGAAAAATGCATTTGAACTTTGGGCAGTAAGAAAACTGCATTGAAGTAAACTAGAACTTTTGATGAAAGTCACTTTTCAGTGTGGTTAACACTAAAAAGGTCAGTAAATAGTAAAAACTACCAGTGGGTGTGAAGACTGGAAAAAGTGTCCTGGAGAAGTGTGGCATTTGTTATGTCTCCACAAGATTCATATGTTGAAGTCATCACCCACAACGTGCCCTGTTGGGTGGTAGGGAATTTAAGGAAGAACTGAAGGTTAAATGAGGCCATGGGCATGAGCCCCAATTCAGTGACCGCTGGCTGCCCTTAATAGAAGAGATCCTGGGAATGTCCCCACACAGAGGGAAGGCTGTGGGAGGACCCAGCAAGAAGGAGCCTCCTACTACACAAGGAGAGAGGCCTGAGGAGAAACCCTGTCTGTTGGCAGCTTGATCTTAGACATCCTACCTCTGCAGCTGAGAAAATAAAATTTTGTTATTTAAGGCTTCCTGTCTCTGGTTTTTTAATGGCAGCCCATACAAACTAAATGGCATTATATAGTAATCTAAAAATTTTCAGCCTTGTGCAAAACAAATTCTTTTCAACATTACATACTCCAGGTAGACGAGTGCATTTAAACTCACAGGCAGGTGTCTGTACAGTAGCAATACCTAACTGCCCAAAACTGGAAAGCAGACAAACAAAAGCCTCTGAAAGGAGAATGCAGAAAAGTATTCTCTTCAGGTATTTATGTCAGAATATTATACAGAACTGAAAAATAAAGAACTTAATAAACATGCATGTTGGGCAAGTGATTTAAGGCACGTAGTAATCATTATTATTTAGTTCCATTTATATGAGGTTTCCAAACAGACAAAACTGAACTACATAGATACATATTTAAAACATTGACGTTAAAACTATCAATAAAAACAAGGAAATGCTTACTTTTAAATTTTGGTTTGGTAAATGAATTGACAAAGTACATGAGACTCCTAGGATGCTATGACATATGCACCTGAACAAGAGTTAAGCAGAGGCTAACTTTAGAAAGAGTTATTAAGCTGGCCAGGTAATTTTGTTTTCTGTATAC